TTTAATTCAATTAGACTTGTTATGGTAGTTTAAATTATCATTAGTATAAATTCTCTACAAAGACTAATTGTTTTAAATTATCTTCTTAGCACCAACACTATTAAATATCAGTAGTAGAAATTCTATCCTTATTCATTTCCCATTAAAATTATTTTAAAATCAGAACACATAAATTTATAATTTTAAATTTTAATATTTATTTTTAAAACAGTTTAATCTATATTTAAAAAAATGATCTATTTTAATCTCAAACTAACACATTAACATATTATATACAAATGCTTGACAATTTTTTCCCAATAAACTCTGATTCTGATCATATGATACACTTAACTCATCTTGATATATTAATTAAAAACTTTGACTATCAATAAAAAAGTCTCAGATTCGAAGATTGTGTATGTAATTTATATGATTATCTTAATTGGCCTAAATGTCTAAGGAAAAAACTGATACAAAATAAAGCAGAACGGCAACTCTCCACCTTTAGCCAGTTTCTTGGCAGAGATAGATTCTATGAAGTTAATAAAATGAAATAAATAGTTCTCAATATGAATAATAATAATAACAATATAATATTATTAACAAATGATAACATGAAATTTACACATCAGAATGAAGCCTAATCGATCTCGTCCTTGCAAGTGTAGGGGTGCCAATTAAGTTTCATTTGGGATGGCTTTCTTACTGCTTCTTAAAGCAACTTTTAGTACAAAAATTTTGTACTGAAAAATTATTTTAAGGAGTAAGAAAACAATCCCAGGCTTCATTAGGGATTTCCTAAAACAGCTTTTTAATAGAACATAACGGTCATATAGAAGTGCATGACAGTGAAAGTATAAAGATGAGCTCTTGAGTCATATATGTATCAACAACTCAAATAAATATCAAAAGCTCTAAGCTATTATTTATTTATTTTACATGCACAAACAATCATACATAGCTAGAGTACATACATAAACATTAAATTAAACTATATACAATACCATCTCAGATTCAATGCCATTACACCATGATGTCACCCTCATCATCACTAGCATCTTCACCTTCTAGAAGCCACTGTTCAAGTTCATCAAGCTCATCTTCTTCATGATGGTACCAGCCAAAAGAAGAATCCCAGAAACCATTTCCGAGCTCCTCTCCCCGGCATGCAACATGCACAAAAGGCCTGCTTCTGACCAGAGCATCCACCATGTCCCTGTTCAAGCAACCAGTCACTCCTAGCCATCTCAGTCTTGGGAAGTAAGGCTTCTTAAACCATCTAAATGCAAGGGGAGTTATACGATCACAGTCAAATATGTCTAGCAAATGCAAGCTGCTCCCAAACGACCCACCCTCAACTTGCATTGACGCCAAAGCCATAACTGAAGTGTCGCCGATTCGCGGACATTCTCGGATTCGGAGCTCAACAATAGGAATTCTGGTTTTGGCTAAGGATAAAATTGCATTGTCAGAGAGATTGGGGATCCTTGAAAGATCAAACATTTGAATTCCATGTCCAACGGAACCACGAAAGAGTAATGGAATACAAGCATCCGTTAGCTTTTTGCAACCTCTGAGTGACAAAGAAGATAAGGGGAACCTTCCACGGCCCAAAAATGAGAGAGCTTTGTCACTAATGTCAGTACCATCAAGAAGCAATGTGTGCAATTTGTGAAGATGAGTTAAAGATTCAAGGGCTTCATCGCCAAGATTACGACAATCTCTCAGGTCTATGACAGTCAGATCTGTATTAAAAGAGAGTCTCTTGATTCCAATGTTGGTTAAGAGATTACACCACCTCAAGCTAACATGTGTTAAGGATAAGGAAGTGGCAGATATGTCATGGAACACAAGGTCAGTCAATTGGCTTCCATGAGAAATTCTAAGCTTGCGAAGGTTAGAGCAAGAGTGTATGATAGCCCTAAAACCGGTGTCAGTAACACGGCAAAATCCACCAAGGCTGATACTTTCTAATGAAGCACAAGAATCTGACATCAAGAGGATACCTAAATCATTCACCCGGCGAAAGTAGGTAAACAAAAACTCCTGGCTTCGGATGAGCGAAATATGCTTGAGCATACCATGCTGATTAATATGTTGAAGGCCCAGATTGGTGAGGTCAGAAGATTGTACTGGTTCTGCTATCGGTGCATCTTGAAGATCTAGGTGTGTTAAGGATGGAAGCCCTATTGAAAGAGAGCTCATTAAGACGTCCGTAATATAATCAACTGACAGGCATAGTTTCTGCAGGTTTGGGAATACTGGTGGCCTCAAAACACAAGAAGGCTGCCGAGTTTCCACAGCTAAGACAAGCAAAGCAGTCAGCATTGACATAGGGATATAACCAAACTCTAGGGACGTGAGCTTATCTGAAGCAGTTGCCCAGACTTGAGCAAATTCAGGGTGTTCAAATTCCGCAACATCAAACAACAAGCTCAAAGACTACAGAGAAAAAAAAGTTTGCATGAGTAATGTCATCATAGCTAAAGGAGCAGAATAAATATGGTATAAAGTAGGCCTCATTTTGATTAAGGCGAAAAATAATATTTAGGTTTCGTTTGGGACGACTTTCTAACTGCTTTTTAAAGCAACTTTTTAGTATTAAAAATTTAATTTTTAAAATAGAAAGTTGTTTTAAAAAAGCAATAAAAAAACCGTCCCAAACGAAACCTTAATCTTGAGCACCGTTAGCTAAGCCTCCAAACAACTGAAAAATCATAAGAAGATTTATCCGACCCAAGACTTTGAATTGTTTGTTGTTGGGTTTTCATTGAAGAAGATGAGACATTATTTGTGCAGAGTCCAATATAAAGTCTATATTGATCATTGGAGCTAAAGTATATGTACACACAAAAATAGCTGATTTTAATGCAAAAGATGGTGGTTGAAACTTATAAAATACCATGATTTAGAAAAGCAATGCCATCCTAGAAAGCTGAAATTTTTCATGATGCTTTGACCACAGAGTCATCACCAAGTGAAACTAGTTGATTACCCGGCAAACACATTTACTCGAGGCTAAGAACAAGTTTGGAGTTAGCTGTGATTAGACCTCCTGATGTGAATCTAGTTTGGTTCAACCAAATGACAGGAACTCTACTCCAAAGAATAGGATTCGTAATCCATTACAATGGGATGTTGATTTTCAAAGGATCATGGCTTTAGTAAAAGCGAGTCAAATAGAAAATTATGAAATTATCAAGGAGTTGTTAGATATAGAGCAGAGATTGTGTTCTTGATCTTGACGATTGGAGGAAGGATGCTCTCCACAAAGCACATTATGGTTGCTGTCATTCATCGTGCTAGCAATAAGATGCACCAAGAACTCAAATGTGTATTTTGGTGGTCACTGCTTAAGAGAATTGCAGCTAAGTTTATTGTTCAATATCCTGCTTGCCAAATGGATCAAGTTCAACATCACAAGCTGAATGGATTACTAGTCTTAGCTTAATACCATAATGGAATTGGAATGAAACTGCCATTGATTTTGTAGATGTCTTGCAGAGATTGAGAAAGCACGTGATGCCATTTGGATTGTTAAAACTTATCTCTTTAACTAATAATTTTTAAGAATTTTAAAAACATGAACAGTTTACTTTCTTTTATAAATAATGATAATTAACTTAAGATACATGCAAATTGGAGTTTCTCATAACCCTTTTTCATAATCCCCATCTCGGTCTATAAGAGTGAAGCCACTCATCCACCTGAGCATTCTCATCCCTGCAACACTTAACTTAATTTTATGCTTCTCTTTTACTAGCCAACATTCTACTCCATAAAGCATTGCAGATCTCACCACACCATATTATAAAATTTTCCCTCAAGTTTGAGGGGTACTTTTCTATCACACAAAAGGTCCAATACATTGCCACCCACTTCAATTGATCCTACCTTATCTAATTAGTTAAAGTATATCAAAAAGAGTTTAATATCATCCTCTATGGGATTAATACCAATCTTAGCAGTATCCATTTTATAAGCCATTAACCCATTATACAAAAAAAAAGCTTAATAATGAAGAAGAATTTCCTAGAAAAAAATAAATATATGAACTTATTAGAACACAAACAATGAGAAAATCTCATTATAATTAAATTCTAAATTTACTCGATGGATGTTTCAACAAAATTGGTGATAAAAGATTAAAACTTCTTCTTTCTTCTTCATCCTCATTCTCCCTCCCGCTTACTCCATCACGTAGAACACCTTATTGTTGTAGCTCCCTTAGCATGAACTATAGGATGCCACATTCCCAACACCTGATTCTTTTGAGGTGCATTTCAAATTAAAAAAAGGTGCTAGTTTGTTCAGTTCAATAAAGTTAATTGTATTCCATGCATATTTGTGCCCTGCTAATGCATTCCATAATCTTCTTGATCTCCTACTGTGTAATCGATTCACCTCGATATTGACTCCCTTTAAATATTTGTAAGGCCGAGGGGACCCAAACATATATGTTGTCCTCAGCATTGTCGTCAAGGTCGCACACATCTTTTATGTAGCCCTTATGTAGCTTACATCCATTCCTTGAGATTGAAGTCTTTTGCATCAACTACCAAAAACGTTTTGGCTTAAATTGAATGTCCACGCACTGCTTATTTTAAAATTGAATATTACCTTTATAAAATAGCATACAATTATTCATGAAAAATATTAGATTTTTCAATATTAAAGCCATGCTTTAGTATCGGCCTTTTGGTTTGTATATATCACCTGCTAGCTTTTCATTCTTGAGGATTGACTTAATAATAGAAAGATAATAATCATGACAATCATTTCATACGTTACATTTAAATTTACAATTCATCTATAGATCAATTACTAATAATTTAGAATAGTTATTGTATTCTTGTGATAGAAACTCATTAGTATATGCTATCAATCAAAGCATAAGACCATAACAGCTGCACTATAACATCAGATATTATATAATGGTATTTAGAGTTTAGCATATGCAGCATCGATGATTATTCAAGTGGCGCTACAATTGATCAGGTATAGGCCTGTTAGACTAAACTCGCGCTAGGAGGTTTAGTCAACCAAAAACTAGGCTCACATGCATAGAACAAGCCAAATGAAATATTGAACTTAAACCATCAAGATATTATCAAAATGCATTTCAAATTATAGTAGGAACTAGGAAGTGAATTAATATTTTTAAATAAAATATATGGCAGAAATAGAAAGACAAATTGGACCTCACCTCTAAATGTAAGCAGCCAGTGAGCAATTCTTTTAACTCAGAATAAAGCACTGAGAGCTTTCTATGCTCAGCAAGGGAGCTCAGATAGACAGATCTGTTCAAATAGACAGTTTTTATTATTCTAAAATAAATTGATATATTTAGGAACTTCGGAAAGTATACGAAAAACAACAATTTTGGTCGAAGGCAAGAACAGAATCAATCATTGATGAAGTCTGTATCACCGGGAAGAAAAAGAAATAGAAATTCTGACCACTAGCTTCAAATGGCATCTCCTTAATTTTATCAAAAGGAAAGGATTACTAAAGTCATGTTCCATGTCGTAAGTGTCATGGATATCAACTGTGAAATTAAATGAGAAATGAAACATGTAAAAGAAAGAAAATCATGATCGCCATTAATAGCTGAAGCAACATGAGGAAAACTTCTGTGTTGTCTTCATATATGCAACTTTTTTTTTTCCATAGGAAGACTTTGTAAATCATTGACACAAGAAGGAATTACATCATCTGAATGAGGATGGACTATAAACAATCCTTAATTATATGCTCATTTTACAAGCTGAATCATTATTGTGACGACGGATGGGAACATGGATGCAGAGATCATGGTGGACTTCTACTATTATCATTATTGCTGAAAATAAAGGTAAAGGTAATGACAGGAGATAAAAAGATGAATAAGAGCAACTAAGCAAGAGAGGCAAGAGGGGGGGAGAGAGGTGAGATTTGATCCCCACAGAATATGCCAAAGATAATTCATATCTTACTCCATAACCAACTATCTGAATTCTATGACACTATTTAAAATAATAAGCCTTGTTAAAAATTACAAAACTACCCTTAAATAGAAAAAGAATACCAAATTGCCGAACTAGTCCTGATGACAAATGACACTTTAGCACATAGCACTTAAAAGACAACTAATTAAGATGACAAGAAAAATTAAATAACACAAAATCATAAAAACTTGTGACTAAGGACTTAGGTAAGCAACATGTATTGCATCTGCAAAGAACTTTACATTCCAGACTTGAATAACTACTGCAAGAATAATTAGAGCATATTAATTGTATTGCAAATATACTTAAAAAAAAGAAAATAAATCTACCAAGAAGATGACGTAATGAATAGCTATCTGGTAGAGGAAGATTGAAGGAGAAGAATAACACCATCATCCTATATAAGATTGGCACAAGGCCATCCTCATCAATCCTCAACAAAATTATTACAACCCTGGAAAGACATCACCAGAAGCTTGGAGATCTTAACATAAAGCAAGTCTGATTCAATCTAATTGAAGTCTTGGCTAACTAAAGCTAATTTTTTTATACTCATTTCAGATTCCAGTAAACTTAAATCTGCATTTTGCCGTCTAACACTTGAAAACGCTCTAAAAAGAAAAAAAGGACAGAATAAAAATGAAGAGTATTTACTTGTTTGGAAAACGAATACAAGGCAAGGGGGTAGAAGAGGAAGGAATGCAGTTTTTATGAACTGGAAATTTGCGAGAAGGTTTTTTTTCTGAATTCAGTAGCAATGGGTTGTGGGGGCAGCAGAAAATAAGAAGATTACATGAAGTCTTACAGACTGTTGGAGGTTGTGGCTTAGAAGAGTGGCTGTGCATGACAAGAAGGGATGAAAGGGAAGACAAATTAAGAAGAGGAGCTCATGTTTTAGATGCCAGGATACACGGATTGGGATAATAAGGAAAGAGAGAACAGATGATACTTAAGTTGAGGTTTTGTAATTGGAAGTGAAGGAAATGAAGCCGGATGTGAGCTTACACAGGAAACCTTAGAAATGCTTGGTTCGGTTGGACCTGTTGCAGGTTAATTAAGTTGAACTAGTCCAGTTCAGCAAGCCCAGCGATGGGTGGGTTCATGTTTTTTAACAGGGTTTGGGTTCAAGCGGTTATAATATAGAAATAGAATAGCTAAACTGAAGGAAAGAACTTAAAAAATAATTGGGTAGTTTGAAATTAATTCAATCTTCAAATTTCAGTTCAAATTGAAATTTGAACTGACTGTTTTGTGGGTAAGTAAAGGCTTTAGATGGGTCAATGCAGTGCATATTGAGGATTTTGCGGATGAATTTTAGTAGGGAGTTTAAATTTTCAAATTTCTAATTTTTAAGAGAAACGGCCTGGGCAAGACAGCAGAGTGGCTGCCATGGTTCCAGTGGCAGCATTTTTCAGCAAACAAGGAAAGAAAAATGCATAGAAAGTAATACAGCAGAACCTGAACAATAATATAGGAAAGGAATTGATGCTGCGACAGCAAAAACAGTTAAAAAATAGAGGAGCCTGAATTTCTGCACTGTGTCAATGCAGAAACAATAGAAGAACTCAGAAAGTTTCCGCTGACAAGCAAGAAGAAAATGCAGGGAAAGAAAATGGAATTGCACCGTGGCGACACAGAAACAAAAGTAGAATTCAAAATTTTCCCGGAGACGAGAAGTAAATGCAGGGAAAGAAAGAGAACAAAAATCCACAGTCTCACTTTGATACCAATTGACGATCACAAGATAGTGAAAAAGAAATAATACTGTACAGGAACAAATGGAGGGAACAAAGAAAGAAGAGATTATGAAAATTAGATAAATGATTATCTCAAAGGAAGGGAGGCAATTCGTAGGGAGAGAAAAAGAAGAACCTCATGCTACAGGAAACAAAGAGATTGATCCCTAGAGAAAATGCCAAAGAAATGCCACATTTTGTTCCCAACACAATCATCCAAATTATATGATCCTAAGCCCTATTTATAATAATAAGCTTTATCCAGAAAGTCAAAAAAATACTCGAACAAATAGAAAAATACCAAATTAGTGATAAAAAGGACAAATAACCAATAATAACTAACTTAAATACAAATATAGATGATTACTGATGTGGACATCCAACCGTCCATGCCTATCCAGGGAGGAGCTGAAGATCGACGGTCGTGATCGTCCTACGTTATCTTAAATTTTTAGTTTTAATTTTTATTTTAATTATGCATTTTTCATTTTTACCCTTAAGGGTCTAATTTTATGTAAACCCTAGGGGCATGATCGTCTTATTTTAGTTTCTTTTATTTATGAGGCCTATATATTGAGGCCCTTGCTAGTATAATGGTATGATGGAGTTTTAATAAAATTGTGTTATGCACTTTTGTTCCCTGGGAGGACGTTAGAAACAATCCCTATGGAGGGAATCGTAGGGCAACGCATCACCCGTCAATCTTCGAAAGAGTCCAAGGCTCGCGGTTCTATCTTTTTTTTCTTTGTTTTGTTTTTTCCTTATTTTCCTAAACTGCCACCTCCTCAAGCCCTCCACCAAGGCGCCAATCTTCTCACCCCATCACCTCCACGCCATCGGCCTACACCAACCCCTCCCTTCCTCCTCCCTTTCCTTGGCTGAAATCCACCAAGGCTCCACCCACCCGCCGACCACCTCCTTCCCTAACCCCACTTCCCTCCAAAAATCCATCTTTTCTTATTTAAGTTGTCATTAATTTAGAAAGATTTAAATTCAAATTAATCTAATTTGAATTTCAAATACATCCTTATTAATTACATTAACTTTGGAAACTTCTTTCATTCAATTAATTAATCAATTCTGAAATTGATTGGTTAATTAATCCCTAGTCCAAATACATTAAACCTAGACACCCCTATTCCCCCCTCTCTCTCTCTTAATCGGTCCCATATCCATGCCATCTTTAAATTCTCTTCCAAATTTGGCGCCAATCCCCTCTTGGTTGGCCAGCCCCTCTCCTTTGCCACCAAATTTCGAATTACTCCCTAATGCTTTCCTTATGGGATGCAAATTATAATAGGAAAGCAATAAAATCTATTTTCTTTAATTTGAAATTTGAAATTTCTTTCGTAATCTACCTTGTTTTATTTTAGGAAAGTTACTTAAACCAAACCTATTTGAATTTTAAATAGGTTTTGATTTAAATCAATCTTTCCTCATTTAAGGTTCTTAATAAGGCAAGCTCTAAATCCCCACCCCAAGCTTTACTTGCACCCAACCATGCCACCAGCCCTGCCCACTCCCATATATGTTCTACATCAATTTGGTGTCAGAGCATGGTTGCTCACCCGGGATGCGAACTTGACGAAGTCGAGCTCTTTTCCACCCCGGGAAAATGATGCGGACATCCAACCGACCATGCCTATCCGAGGAGGAGCTGAAGATCGACGGCCGTGATCGTCTTACATTATCTTAAATTTTTATTTGTAATTTTTATTTTAATTATGCATTTTTTTATTTTTACACTTACTTAAGGGTCTAATCTTATGTAAGCCCTAAAGGCATGATCGCCTTATTTTAGTTTCTTTTATTTCTGAGACTTATATATAGAGACTCTTGCTAGTATAATGGTATGATGGAGTTTTAATAAAATTTTGTTATGCACTTTTGTTCCTTGGGAGGACGTTAGTGACAATCCCTATGGAGGGAATCGTAGTTTCCACCAGCAGCATGATGATTGATTAATACAAATTCTGAGTTTTCTTTGTCTTTCTCAAAGTAGATTGTTTGAGTCAAGAAGAAAGGCCCAAGGTGTGGGCAATCGCAAAACCCGCCAACCTTTGGAAGGGTCCAAGATTCGTGGCTCTAATTATTGTTCTTCTTATCTCTTTTGATCTTCCCATCTCTTCCCCACACCACCAACCTACTCCACCCCTTCCTTCCCCTCTTTCTCTTGATTGGAGCCAATATCGCTTTGATAGCCTACTTTCCTAAAATATTATAGATAATTTGGGAAAGAGAATCAATCTGATTTGAATTCAAATTCAAATTTCAAATTTGATTTCTAGTGTTAAATTGAAAAATCCCTTAAATCAATCCAAATCAATTTCAAATTAAATGGGATTGATTATCACTCTTTCTAAAACTGAAATTTAATATTAGGAGAGTAAACCCATGCATGCAGCATGTCCCCCCCCCTTCTCTCTCTCTCTCTCTCTCTCTCTCTCTCTCTCTCTCTCTCTCTCTCTCTCTCCCTCTCTCTCTCTCTCTCTCTCTCTCTCTCTCTCTCTCTCCCCCCCCCATTAATTCCCCTTCTCCTTTGGAGTTAAATTTAAATTTCAAATTCCAAATCCCTCCAAATTAAAATATGAAAATTAAATTCATACTTTAAGTGGTTAGCCGCTCCCGTTCTGCATCAGTTTGGTATCAGAGTATGGTTGCTCACCCGGGACTCGAACTCAACAGGGTTGAGCTCTTTTCCACCCTGGGGGAATGATGCGGACATCCAACCGTCCATGTCTATCTGAGGAGGAGCTGAAGATCGACGGCTGTGATCGTCCTACGTTATCTTAAATTTTTATTTTAATTATGTATTTTCCATTTTTACCCTTACTTAAGGGTCTAATCTTATGTAAGCCTTAGGGGCATGATCGTCTTATTTTAGTTTCTTTTATTTCTGAGGACTATATATAGAGGCACTTGCTAGTGTAATGGTATGATGGAGTTTTAATAAAATATTGTTCTGCATTTTTGTTCCTTGGGAGGACATTAGTGATAATCCCTATGGAGGGAATCGTAGTTTTCACCAGCCGTAGGATGGGTCCGGGCTCGTGGCTTGAAATTCCTTGATGAAAGGTAATGCATCACCCATTAGTCTTCGGAAGAGTTCAAGACTCGCGGTTATATCTTTTTTTTTCTTTGTTCTGTTTTCTTTATTTTCCTAAACTGTCACCTCCTCAAACCCTCCACCAAGGTGCCGATCTTCTCACCCCATCACCTCCACACCATCGGCCTACACCAGCCCCTCCCTTCCTCCTCCCTCCCCTTGGTTGAAATCCACCAAGGCTCCACCCACCCACCGACCACCTCCTTCCCTAACCCCACTTCCCTCCAAAAATCTCTCTTTTCTAATTTAAGTTGTCATTAATTTGGAAAGATTTTAAATTCAAATTAATCTAATTTGAATTCCAAATATATCCTCATTAATTACATTAATTTTGAAAACTTCTTTTATTCAATTAATTAATCAATTCTGAAATTGATTGGTTAATTAATCTCTAGCCCAAATACATTGAATCTAGACACCCCTATTCCCCCTTCTCTCTCTCTCTTGATCTACCCCATATCCATGCCCTCTTTAAATTCTCTTCCAAATTTGGCCCCAAACCCCTCTTGCTTGGCTAGCCCTCTCCTTTGCCTCCAAATTTCGAATTACTCCTTAATGCTTTCCTTATGGGATGCAAAACACAATAGGAAAGCAATAAAATCTATTTTCTTTAATTTGAAATTTGAAATTTCTTCCATAATATACCTTTTTTTTTATTTTAGGAAAGTTACTTAAACCAAACCTATTTGAATTTTAAATAGGTTTTGATTTAAATCAATCTTTCCTCATTTAAGGTTCTTAATAAGGCAAGCTCTAAATCCCCACCCCAAGATCTACTAGCACCCAACCATGCCGCCGGCCCTGCCCACTCCCATATCCGTTCTACATCAATTACATTATACATTAAATAATAATGAAAAACACAAAAATTAATAACTAAAGATTGAAATAGATGACTTCAGCTATATACTCGCTTTAATTTATCAAAAATCCTTCGAAATAATTTCTTCCAATGTTTGACATTTTCATTATTAGACTTGTGCTTGCTGATTCACAAAATTTAAATATACTAGTGATGCAAAACAACTAAGAATATACTGTTTTTTAATGTAAATCTAATAAAAAGATATGCACAAAATCAAGCAAGCAATATCAAAACTCTTAATTCAAACAACAATTCATTTCATCTGAAGAAAACTAAAAAAACACAAAATTACGTGGACACATAGCATTGGTAAATTTGTGGCTAATTCCATATGCAGGAACAAGTATGGGTTCCCATTATTTCAATCTTGAAGACCCTATAAGACATATAAAAAATTTAGTATTAATATTATTTATTCTTACCTGTTCATAGCATCAGTGTGCTTCACATACAGACTGTTGTAAAGTGTTGCTTGCTCATAGCACAAAGGGAATTCCCCAGAGGCAATTCAATGTGTCACATTAGCCGTACGTTTTAGAAATAATGCTACGTGGTTATAATATATGGCTGTCATGAGCCCTTGTATTAGGAGACCACGTGCAAGCCTAAGAACTCCATTGAACCACTCGGAGGCATTTATTGTCATTATCCCGTAACGACAGCTACCATCATGTAACAAACTCCACTTAGTTGTGCAGTTGTGCTACCTTCAACCAACAAACTACTTTTCTTAGTTGTGCTACGTTTACTGGTCCTTTGATCACCAAGCTAATTTTTACTTCTATTTCATCCTTTTCATTGCTAAGGTCTATGATTCGTAACAGGACAGGATCATAAGTTAGATTCAACAAACATTGATATGCTTAAGAATACAAATGAAGGAATGAATGTTTAAGAAAAGGCAATCACATACAAAATAAAATACCAAGTTAATTAAGCAAGTCATGGACGCGAGCCAAAAGCATATTTGAATTTGCTAATATTAAGCAAAAAATAAAGAATGGTATACCTAAGGATCTTTTAGTACAATATAATATTTTTGGCATGTTGGTTGAGAGCTTAGGCTTCCAACTAAGAGATCTTGGGTTCGAGTCTTTGTGTATGCGTTGTGTGTGTGAGTTTGCCTTAAATGGCCTAAATGTCCAAAAAAAAATTCTGACATTTTTTTCAATCACTAAGGCTTAGTTAGCAGAAGTTGCAGCTTTTTGAAAAAGTAGTTGTAAAATTATTATGGGAAAGTAACTTATTTAAAGTTGTTGTTGGTATCATAAATATATTCTTTTTGAAAAAAAATATCAGGCAGCAACTTTCTTATAACAACCACACTCTAATAAATCTAATTATAAAAAATAGTTTTCCATCACAAGAATATTGAAAAACGGCTATAAAACAGTTACCAAAAGTAGCGGCAGTCTAAAAAGTCAAGTAGTGGGAATGCTGCTTTAAACAGACCCTAAGTCATTCAAGGTGGGATGTGGTATTCGATAAGCTGATAATGCATGAGAGTATTCGGACAGCTTGAAATGTTGGGTTGATCGCATCTAGTCAGTTTGTAGTTATGAGGGATGATAGATCCTCATACTTACAATGGCACCAATCTATTCGGGTTTAAAAACAAGCAAATCATAAACTAATCTAGATCTAGAAAAGGTCCATTTTTTCCGATCAACAAGATAATCATTTGTCATGCATTTTTAGGAAATCCTCTTTTTGAATAATCTATTGAAAATATAATTCTTAATAGTTTCATTATGAAGCCTGTTTTAAAACTTTTTTCAGCTAATTCAAACAAAGGATATTGGCTTGCACAGCATGAATTGGCATGCGTAGCAGACATAAACTGAATTCAAGTAAAAATTTAAAATCCATGGACAAATTATCAAAATTACAGCAACATGCGAGATTTTTCCCAGAAAGGGCATTCAAAATTCGGAAATCACTTAAGAAGCATAGATTCTACATCCATATGTTATTCCTTTCACCTAAGATCCGGACACTTGCGCCCCAACTCAACGAGAAGCCTCCCGCTTAAATTCTCACAGTTATGGAGGCACAGCTCCTGAAGCGACGAAGCACGCGCCAAATGCCCGATTGAAGAGTCATCGAGCCGGCTGCAGTCCAGCTTCAGGCTACGCAGATACGGGTTAGGAAGCAGTAACGTCCTCAACAGATCCAGCGTTGGCGCTATCTCCTGAACAACAACGAACCAAATCAGAGTAAGATGTAGACCTAGGGTAAAGCAGCTGCCCAATTTTTAAGTACTTTTGTTCTACTGGAAGGCTTACGAGGAGATGAAAGGATGGAGTGAAGGAAAGAGCGTGGATGGCGCAGGAGCGGAGATATCTACATGAGGCTGAGGCAGCGCAGAGGGACCGGAGATCAAGCTTCGAGAGAATCGTTGCTATGACGGCAGAGGGTAGACGCTCTTCCATTCCGAACAAAGGATCCGATGCCAGGTTTTTTTCTCGTCCGACCCTGCCGCCAGCGTGAAGCCTCGCTTCCACCTTGTCCTCGCGCCATCCGGCCATCTCCAACCGAAGTCGCCGGGAACTACTATTTCCGACCCGATCAATTGTCGATCACGAAAATACTTATGGGACTGCACTCACCACTTCGCTGTTTATTGATTTGTATGCACATATAAGAGTAGTTCAGAGTATAGATGAAAAACAACTTAGGCTGCATTTGGGACAGCTTTCTATCTGCTTCTTAAAGTCTTTTTTTTAATTAAAAAAATAAAATTTTTTACTAAAAAACTGTTTTAAGAAGCATAAAGAAAGCCGTCTCGAACAATTTTTTTACTGTTTCTTAAAGTAGCTTTTCAATACAAAAAATTTATGCACTGAAAATTTGCTTTAAGAAGCAAGAAAAGTGTCGTTCCAAACGAAGCCTTAGACTTGGCTTGAGACTGCTTTTTTACTACTTCTTAAACAATTTTTAAATACAAAAGTTATTTTTTTACTAGAAAGCTACTTCAAGAAACAATAAGAAGGCAGTCCCAAACGAAGCCTTAGGCTTCATTTGGTGCAGCTTTCTTAATGCTTTATAAAACAGCTTTTTAAAATCTGTTTTAAAAAATAGTAAAAAATCATCTCAAACAAATCATTAAGCATCGTTTAAGACAACTTTCTTACTAGTTTATTTTTTAAACTATACTCATAATTTATGTTTTGTCTACTGTTATTTTTGTTGCTTTCAAAAAATTTTATAGTAAAAGGATGATTTCTACAACATCTTTAAAAATTTACTCTATACATAAGTTTCATAAAGTAATAAGAAAGTTATCTCAAACTAAACTTTAATTAAAATATTTTTACTTATCTATGATATAGATTCTAAATGATGCATTTTACTATAATTGAAGAAAAATTTGCTACAATATAATTCACATTAATTATACAAGATGACTTCCATAGTGAAAGTCGAAGAAGCCTTGTAGCATTAGGGTTGTATCGAAACAAGAAACATCATTGTTGATGTGTTCAATCATTCTCCTCGTATGCGGGGAGACTACAAACACAAAAAAAGCACAACTCTTGGTGTCGACATTAGACATCACCATTGGTAGGAGAAATTATTCTGTGCAGTCACCGAATGGTTCAAAGGCAAATCAGAATATGTTGTCACCCGGTACCGAGCGCTACTTAGCAGTGGTACATAGCAGAAAAATGATGAGGTGTGTTCTCATTCATCTTTGGACGACGTTCGATGAACGCACAAAATAATTTTTCCATTAGTGGTAAGGGCAAGTGACATCCAAGTTGGCGGTGATAGATATTGACGAAGAACATGATAACTAAAAAAGAGGAAAGACGATAAAAAGTTAGAGAAGAAAATGATTTTTTTATTGATCTCATTAAAGCTTATACCCTTTTATTATACTACTATAACATGCTTTAACCAGTTGATGTGGAACATTATAGCTAATAGCTCTCATTAGGAATTCCTTATCTAGTTTGTTACAAGTTTCTCTAGAATATTCTATAGATGGGTTATATATGTATGCATTGAGTAGAAAAAGGGGGAAGAAATATTATACTCTTTGAAGCCTTAGAGCTTGTGTTCCTCTTATTCCCTGGATTGGGATCAAATCCTTCTTGCAGGTCAATTCTTTCGACAATCCACTACATCACCAGTGATATCAGGAATTTAACTGGAAACCTACTAACTAAACTCAATTAATATCTAATAATACAACAGCGCTAAAGCTTAAGAGAAACTCTTAAGCCACTGTGATGGTTCTCGGCTCCTACCCTATTGGCTTTGTGGTGGTTGTTGTGGGTGTAGGGGTGCAAATAAGTCAAGTCGAGCTCAAATCAGACTTAACTGGAGCTCGACTCGTGTAAAACCCCTCCAAATTTCATTTTTTTTAGTACAGTTAGTCTGTACAAACTAACCTTAGTACGGGAGGAACTGAAGAAAATTGTGAAAATCTGTATGGTTAGTACGTACGAACTGAGTAAAGTGCAGGTTCGTCCATACGAACCTGAGTTCGTCCGGGACGAATTTTTACCCGAGAGCATCGTTCAGGGACAAAATTAATTATCGTTTGTATGCTCGTATCCATATAGCTTCGTCCTGGGACGAATGGGAAACATCGTCTAGACAAATGTACATATCTTTTCTCTATTTTTGGACCGTTTGAGATATTTTGAAAAGAGAGAAAGCTGGAGAGAGAAAGAGAAGGAAAGAGAAGAGGAAAGCTCGGTTTTGGAGGCCGCGAAGCGATTTTTGTCCGACGCTGCTGTTAGAAGAATTGTTTGTCTCGCTGTAAGGAATCCAAATCCTATTTCTGATTTCGAAGATTTTGTGTTTTGATATTTTTCTGCTCAGTTTTGTGTTTCCGTTACCGAAATTCTTGCATATCTTTGTATTGACAAAACTTTTACCGCGTAACTTTTGGTATGTTATAGAAATGATGATTTTGCACGATTTGAGTATTTTCTGAAAAATTTTCACCGAGTATTTTGAATTATGTGTGATTTTTATCGAATAGAAAATTATCTTGATGTCGAAAAATAGTGCTTCAGTACAAGTAAAGTTTAGAAATGATGTTTTATCCGATTTCTAGTAATTGGTAGTTTTCTAAAACTGTGTATTTTATCTCTATTTGGGATTTATGTCGACTGTACGATAGTTTAAGGATTTTCTTAGATTGAGTTGAATTGTGTTTGTTGATTTCAATGCATTAATGAGATGTATATGAATGTGGATATATGATTGAAATACTGTGATATTATTGAAAGACAAGTAAAGACTGGTTGAACCGTTGGTTGAAAATTTACCTGTACAGGATGGTGGGCCGACGAGCTTTCCTTTAAAAAGGGTTTGGTGTTATCCTCTATTGATCACGTGATATAATGATTGGGAGTCATAAGGAGATTATTGTGCCGACGGACAAGGGTGACAACTCTATTTACTGAGCCAACGGATTACTAACATCGATACTAACCTTGAAAAACGCCTTAATAGCCAGTGATTGTACTTGTTAAGTAAGACTATTGTATTGAATTGCATGTTTAAAGTTTTGTTCTTATGATTTCATTATGGATTTATTGATTTATTGATATCGACGGATTTATTGATATTGAATTGATTTATTGATACTGAATGGATTTACTGACGGATTTTTGAGGTTATTGTCACTGCACGATTTCATTGATATTGCATACTGTTTACCGATTCTACTACTGATTCGTTGATACTATTGATTCACCGATACTACCGATTCATTGTGCTGATCTTATAGCACATGATACACTGAATACTGACTGATACATGTGATATAAGTGATACACTGATAAGACTGACAATATGTGATTCACTGAACACGTGATATAGATTAACTGTATTGCATGTGATACACTGAGCACGTGATATGGATTATGTTTTTACTATATTGATGTGATTTTAACTGTTCTTCACGATGTATTGATTTGATTGTTTTATATGATTTCATACTGATTGATATTATTGATCGGAGATTATTTCTTTATTTAATGACTTGATTGATTCTATTAATTGATACGATATTAATTTAACTGATATATTGATATTTATAAATTTTTTTACTGTTTACCGATTCTTCTACTGATGATTTTGGATTTTACTGATTATGCATTGATTACTATTTCTGTACTGATTTCCGTATCTGCATCGATTCAATGATCATGTGCAAGTGGCTAATATTGATTTGACTGATTGACATGCATATTGCTTCCGTACCGTGCTTTGACTTCAGTTGTAGGCTTTGGTGACCTGCTGTGCTATTTAAGCTCATTATATGTGGTTAATGATTTTAGGTACAGAACCTCCCGCATGAAGCTTCATACATCTACTAGTATAGTTTTAGTAGTTTTTAGTTCATGCATTGTTTTGTAGCATGTGCGGCTATTGTATATATTCTTTTGGACGCCACTTTTGAGATTGTAACTATGAAATGTGAATTATATTTTATGTTGTATTTATTTTCTTTAATGCAATTATCATTTATGGATGTTTGTATTGATCTGAGCGAAAAGAAAGAATAAGAAGAAAAGTATGTCGATGAATCCTTTCACTATAGATGCCTGGGATGTCACAACTCGCAAGCCAAATTCCGAGCTTAAACTCGACTCAAGCTCAAAAGGCGAACTAGAGATCAGGTTGTGCCACTAAAAATGAGCTTGTGTGTAGCTCATGAGACTTCTGTGGCCCGCCGGTCTGCCTTCTTTCCTCTTCCGCAGTTCACACCACTGTGCAATAATTCGATTATTTGATTGTATATTTACATTTATTTCAAAATAAATTTGACAATTATAAAACATATCATCAAATTCCTCTTATTAGGTCAAAATATCTGATCCCAAAATTTTTCCTATTTTATGTGTTAGTAAGGGATAATGAACATTTCAAATTAACTAATCATTTTTCTCCATAGATACAAAATAATTTTCTTAGCTCTCTATTTTTGTTCTTATAACATTTTGTAAAATGAAATATTGGTTTTATATTTAAAAATTACATTTATTATAAATTATTTTGCACATAATCTTTTTTTGACAATATAGTTCTCACTTTCCGTTACATTTTTTAGATTGTTTTGAAAATAATAATAATAATAATAGCCCTTAAACAAAACATTTGATTAGAAAAACTTAGCTTACATAAGATTGGTTTAAATGTTTATTTTCATTATTAATTCGAGTTTATATTTGGAATTAAGGATTAAGTTTTTTTCCATAAATTTATTTCCTAATGAAAATTTTAATTATTACCTTATTATGGAACCTTTTTTCTAAGATAGATTATGAATTCTCAAACTTCATGAGTGATTTAATGCTTGTTTAGAACGGTTGTAGTTTTTTATAAAAATTATTGTTAAATTATTATAGGAAATTATTTTTTTTTTAGAAATTACTATGGGTATTATAAATATGTTTATTTTTCTCTCATAACTTTATTATAGCTCCCACATATTAGTAAGACTTCGTTTGAGATAACTTTCTTACTGCTTTATGAAGCAGCTTTCCTGAAAAAAATCAAATTTAAAAAAAAATTGTACTAAAAAACTACTTCATAAAGCAGTGAGAAAGCTATCCCAAACTAAACTCTAAAGCAATTTTTTAGTTAAAAATTTTTTGAGTT